ACTTTTTGTTAATCCCTGCCCAAGGGCATTTTTCCATTGGTTTTTAGAAAAAAGTACAAGGGAGGAGGAGAGACAGAGGGAGAGAAACATTGATGTGAGAGAGACACATCAATTGGTTGTCTCCCGCATGCGCCCAGACCAGGGCCAGGGGGTCCAGCCTGCAACCAAGGTACTTCCCCTTGATGGGAATCGAACCCGGGACCCTTCCACCAGTGCTGTGGCCACTGAGCCAAACCAGCCAGGGCAGTAGTCACTTCCTGCTTCCACTCAGTCGCTGTTGCTCAACCTGCCCAGAGCAGCAGGTTTGACAGAATGATGACGGGGTTGGGGATTTCAGCCTCGCTTACAGAAATTGAGGGGGAAGGGGAAGACGGGGTCACCCCATCGTGCCAGGAAATGTGCAAATATGGCCCGCTGGTTCCCAGCCACACACAAAGGGCCTCATTCATCTCCCACCACTGACCACGAAAGCTGCTTCCAACCCAAATTTCCTGTTTCCTCCTCAACCACATCTGTCCGCTGTTTGCTTAGAGAAAACCAGGTACAAAAGTGACATTGTATTCCCATTGTGTTTTGGGTTTCTGACGGCATTTGCGCCCGGTGGGGAATGTTTTTGAAAATCCGTCCTTCTAGTGTTCACACACACACACCCCTCACATCCATTGCCCGGTGGAGAGATCTTTAAAAGCCAGGCCGGGGGCAGTACCTGCGATTGAAGCGATGAAGAGTGTACCTGGTTTTCTTTAATAGTTTGAGTGTTTCTTGTTATAGATATAGATATATATATTTTTAAATATATTTTATTGATTTTTTTACAGAGAGGGAGAGAGTTAGAAACATCAATGAGAATCATCGATCAGCTGCCTCTTGCACACCCCCTACTGGGGATATGCCCTCAACCAAGGTACATACCCTTGACCGGAATCGAACCCGGGACCTTTCAGTCCGCAAACCGACGCTCTATCCACTGAGCCAAACCGGTTTCGGCCAGATATACTTTTTTAAGGGTAGAACCTCTCCTGTTCATTTCTGGATGTCTTAGTTTCTCTATCCTATGATGGCATCTGAATGAAAGAAAGCTCGTTTTTTAAGAACTGGTTATTTCCCGCCGGGACCGGTTTGGCTCAATGGATAGAGTGTCGGCTTGGGGACTGAAGGGACCCGGGTTCGATTCCGGTCAAGGGCATCTACCTTGGTTGCGGGCATATCCCCAGTAGGGGGTGTGCAAGAGGCAGCTGATCGATGACTTTCTCTCATCGATGTTTCTAGCTCTCTATCTCTCTCCCTTCCTCTCTGTACAAAATCAATAAAATATATTTAAAAAAAAAAAAAAAAAGAACTGGTTATTTCCCTATTTGTCTGTCTTGGATAAGGTGACCAAACATCCCGCTTTTGGCGGGACAGTCCCAATTTTTAACCATTTGTCCCCCGAATCGGGACTTTTTTAAAACGCAGAGGGACGCAGGACAAATGGTTAAAAATCGGTACATCTGGTCACCTTAGTCTTGGGGGATTATACTGGTAATCCATGTGTTAGAGTCAGCCTGAGGAGTATGAATTAGTAGGCATTACGTGCTTAGGGAAGGGCCTGGCACGTAATATGCACTCAGGAAAAGTTGGCTAATTGATAAAACTGTGGAGAGGCATCTGATCTGGGACGACTGCCTGGAGGAAGCGGCATTTGGGCTAAGCCTGGAAGGACGAGTGACAGTTGACCTTGAGAGACTGGGAATGCATTTCAGGCCAGAGCAGTTCCGGAGATGTGTGTGAAGGAGAGCACCCAGTTTACTTTGGCCGGGACACTGAGGCGGCGGGGAGCTGGGAAATTCGGTTGGATGCCACATGAAGAGCCTTGACAGCCGCACGGAGGTGTTTAGACTTGATTTTCTCAGCAGTGGAGTTCCAGGAAGTCCGTTTCGAGACAAGATCAAAACCGTAACTTGGGAAATTTGATGAGCCCAGGGTTGGATGGATCCTCAGAGAGGAGAGAATTGGAGACCTAGAGTTTTAGTTTGGAGACAAAAGTGAAAGTAATGGTCTGCCTGGGTCAGGGGGGTGAGATTAGAAAGGGTTTTCCCAGTCTGACTTGGATGTAGACATTAGTTCATTTCCTATTGAGTAAAATTTTTATTTTTTCTTTCTTTTTTTAAAAAAATGTTTTTATTGATTTTTAGGGAGAGGGATAGAGAGATGGAAACATTGATGAGAGAAAACATCATCAATCGGCTGTCTCCTGTGTACACCCCCTCCTGGGGATGGAGCCTGCAACCCGGGCATGTGGCCTCCCCGGAATCAAACCAGTGACCTCCTACTTCCTGGGTTGGTGCTCAACCACTGAGCCACACCAGCCAGGCTAGAAAACTTTTATTTTAAAAAACTCAGTACTTCTATTGGATGACTACCATTTTCTCTTGGTGGTCATTGGAAAGGGGTGGGAGTGAAATCAATGAACTAGTCTTCGTTTACAAAACAGGGACAACTTTTTACAATGCTTACCTTTCCCCCCACCCCTGATTTCTACAGAAACAGCAGGTTAAGATCCCATTTGATAGGCAGCCTAACTTTTCATACAGGGACATTTTTCAGTGTAAAGTAGATACGGGCTTATCTATTTCCCATGGTTTCATATCTAAAAGAAAGACAGGTTGTCATTCATTGTAGGGGAAGGAGAAGGAAGGCAGAATCCCTGGCCCTGCAGTTCTGGAGCGTGCTGCCCTCTCACCACTGTAAGCCTTTCATTCCACTTTCTGCTGGGGAGGCAAATCCTCACCTGCTCACATCGCCTTTTCTTAAGTGGCTCTGAGAAGAACGACCATCTAGGCACCCTCTTTTTTTCAGTCAGTTTTTTGGCCATTTGGGAGCTTTTCATTCTCTCAGCGATGGAAAATGAATAAGAGAGTGGCGAGACAGCAGTAGGCATTTATGAGTTCCCGAAATCACACGGGTCCTTCAGCGAGCAATATATGTGACAACACTCTGTAATTTGTAAGGCATTACGAGTATATAAATACATGTCAAGATTTTTTATTTTTTTTTTTATTTTTTTTTTTTTAGAAAAACGGTACCTTATATCTTTCGTGCCTCTTGGCATAAAGCCCTTTTAATCAGGACATTGGGAACATGCTCTAAACAAGTGGCAGTATTGGCTGGTGAGCGGTGTCTCATGAAGACTGGTGGTGTGTGTGTGAGTGTGTGTGTGTATATACTCTGACCTGGTGTCATGTCTAAACACAGCCCAAAAACGTGGCCATTGAGAATTTCTAGTCACTCACCACTTGAAATATTAAGAAAACAAGAACATTTACCCTGTCCCATGTCTGACAATCTGTTCCGCAGAAATAATCTCTAAATAGTCAGAAACTGAGTTATTCAAAATATTTTCTAAAAACAAACAGCTCCTCTTTCTTTCCATGTCTATCTCCATGGAAATAGAGAAAAGGTGATTTCCTCGTTCTTTAAAATAAAATGTTGAGCTACTGTAGGGTGTCCCCAAAAATGTAGATGTGCTTTGAATAATTACAAAGGCGGTGTTAACTAAAATGCACTTCGTTTTCAAAATACAGTAGGATCTACAAAAAAGTATGTGTGCGTTTTCTTAGGACACCGTATATTTTCCCAGCAGTATCGTTTTCTAGAAAAATGTTTATTTTATGATTTTATTTAAAGCTTTCTTAATTTTTTTCTGAGACAAGATACGGGTATAAATACAAAAAAAAAAAAAGTTAAACCCAGATAATTCCCATTGGACAATTCTATTTGTTCTTCTGTGCGGTGCAAACATTGAGTCTATGTCACGTTATCCTTCACCCCCAATTCAGCCCTGAATCTGGAGTTTGACGCTGCTGCTTTTATAATAAAAGATTCATGGAAGTAAACTTTGCCATGTCGATTTCCCACTCTACTACCATAGTTGCTGGTAGCTGGGCACTAACTAACTCATGAGAAGATAGCAGGTTGCTTTTCCTTTTGGACTGCTCAGTAAGGACATTCCTATCTGCTTTCATGAATTTGAGTGGTCATCATTACCTTTCCTTATTTCGGACTAAATCCCCAGTATGGGTCATGCATAAGGCAGCCTATCTGTGTACTCTCTCATCGATGTTTCTCTCTTTCCCTCTTCCTCTCTCTCTAAAAAAATAAAACTTTTTTTTTTTAAAGAATAGTGTCTGGCCAGTATAGCTCAGTGGTTGAGCTTGGACCCATGAAGAACCAGGAAGTCAGGGTTCAATGATTCTCATCATTGATATGTCTCTCTCTCCCTCTCCCTTCCTCTCTCTGAAATCAATCCAAATATGTTTGTTTGTTTTAAAAGAATGTTTGTGGTGCGAGCAGAGAAGCTCACGAATGTGCCCTGACCTTTCCCATGTGAGTCAGTCTTGACAGAGCTGTGACCACGTCCTGGAATGAGTTGGAACAGAGTAATGCGTCAGTTGCACTTGGCCTTTCTGTTTATCCAAGCGTATCTACATAGTACGAGATGTTAATCACAGGGGAATAAAAGCCTTGTTGGGCCTGTCACCCTCCCAGGATTTTGGGGTTTGTTGGATTAATGCCCCCCATCCACCTGACAGCCCGGGCCTCCTATAACTGCCTCTGAAGACCGGGGGCCCCAGGGCCTGGGGCTTCGTGTGCAACCTGTCAGGTGGCTGAAGGTCAGGCTGGGCTCTTCCGGGTGTCAGATGTACCTGGTGACCTTCTATTGATGTGAAAAGTAAACCCAGTTTGACCATCATCATTAATGACCGGAGCAGAAGCAGCACAGGGTAACCTAGTGCCGGGACCTCCTTTTTTTAAGGAAAGATGGATAGTTATATGCATTTCTAAAAGTCTGGAAAGATGCACAACGTTTTAGGTCACTTGACTTAAGGGGACTTGGGGCCTTAGTTGTTACCAACAGACATGCATGTTTTGCTTGTAGAACTAGATCAGAGCTTATTAAGGAAGAAGAAGCATGCTGAGGTACATAGGACTTAACTTCTTTGTTTTCTGTTTTGTTGCAGAAATTGAAGCCAAAGAAGCTTGTGATTGGCTACGGGCAACGGGTTTCCCCCAGTATGCACAGCTTTATGAAGGTGAGCCGGGAACACCATTTGTAAAAAATATTAGCATAGCCCTAGCCAGTTTGGCTCAGTGGAAGCATCGGCCTGCGGACTGAAGGGTCCCAGGTTCGATTCTGGTCAAGGGCACATGCCTGGGTTGCAGTCTCAGTCCCCAGTAGAGGGTATGCAAGAGGCAGCCAATCATTGATGGTTCTCTTCCCTCTCCCTTATTTTCTAAAATCAATATATACAATATATATAAATTTTAGCATAATCTTATCCTTGGTTCATAATTATTATTGATCTGTTATTTTACTTTCAGATAGTTTCTTATATACTTGGCTATTTCCATCATTAAAAAAACAAAAACAAACAAACAAAAAACACAATGTAGCAAGCACTGTAGACCCCCACCACTCAAAGAAAAAGCTAAGATCTTTTTTTATATATATATTTTATTGATTTTTTTACAGAGAGGAAAGGAGAGGGATAGAGAGTTAGAAACATTGATAGGAGAAAAAGATCGATCAGCTGCCTCCTGCACACCTCCTACTGGGGATGTGCCCGCAACCCAGGTACATGCCCTTGATCGGAATCGAACCCGGGACCTTTCAGTCCACAGGCTGACTCTCTATCCACTGAGCCAAACAGGTTTCGGCATGGGATCTTGATAATAATAACAACCACGTGCTCTCCCTCTGCCACTCCCCTACCCAAAATCTCCGTCTTCCTAAATGAAACCTGTGTTTATCCTTTTTTTTTTTTTTTTTTTTTTTTTGCTTTCCTTTTATGTAGTTTTATTGTATTTTCCTAAAATATATTTTTTTATAAACTTGTTTTCCTTTACCAAAAGGGTCGTGTGCTCTAATGTTTCGAACATTCTTATGCCTTCTTGTGGTATCCTTGTACATGTGCAGTAACTTACCTCACCTGTATTTCTCAGGGTGAGATGACTGGGTAATAGAGACAATAGGTATTTGATTGGTTAAGGCAGGTTTTAAAAAAAATGTGCCATTTTCATTCTCGCCATGTATTCCTAACACTTGATATTGTCAGACTTTAATGTTTGTCAATCAACTGGGTATAGAATACCTTACAGAGTTTAACTTCCATTTGCCTCATCCTTGATGATACAGGGCACATGTTTCCATAGCATCTGGCCAGATGCTGACTCTTCTGTAAAGTCTGTTGCCCGTTTTCCTCCTGACTGTGCTTTTCTTGATGGCTTGTTAAGAGCTCTTAATGCTAAACCTCTCGGGCTTGTGTTGCAGTTTGTGATTAGGCTTTTCACTTTTTTGAGGTTGTCATTTTTTATATTATTCCTTCTAGCCATTCCAATTTTTTAATGAAGAAAACTGGGCCTTTTAAAAAGTAAGTAGGATCTGGGCTGAAGTTTTACTGCTTCATTCTCTATTCAGCGCCCTGGGGTGCTAAGGGCAAGAACCTGGAGCCCTCAGCCTCCGGCCGCCCCAAGGGGGTGCGGTGTGCTCTGCACAGCGAGATGAGAAGAGGCTGTTTGTTTAGATGACAGTTTTATCATTTTCCGTATTAAGTCATTTAAAGAGAATGACAGTTGTGAGTGGGTGGACTCCATTTTACGAGTGATTTTCAAGCAGAGGCGGAGTGAATAATGAAGTGGTTCCTAAATGGAGAGTGAGTAAAATGACTCCCAGGACTTGTTCCCTCCTCTTTGCCTCCGTAATACTACTGTGATGGCCACCCTAGGAGTCTCTCTCTCCTTTACTCATTTACCAGCCAGCCAGCCACCCCGCCAACTGGCCCAGCAGCTCAAGTTAATTCAGCATCAACAAGGGCGCCTGGCACTCCTGGGTGCTACCTGTCTTACAGAAACAAGACAGTTCAAACCTCAAAGAAGAGCTTTAAGGGATTGTCAGACTCTCATAGAGCAAACATAATTTTGGTTGATTGACATTTTAAAAAATACGCCTTTTTCATTAATGAAGAAGGAAGGAGATGCAATGAGACAGTTAGCCACCAGGAGACAAAAATCTCTAAAAGATGCATTTGAAATGATGTCACTTAAACTTGTTTTCGTGGTGAACTCTTCTCACAATTAACAGTTATTTTAAAACAGCACTTTAGTTCTTCTCTCCTTCTAGGATAATAAGATAGCAGGCTGATTCCTGTAGCAATGGGAGCGTTCTCTTCGCTGGAGCCAGCCTTCTATAATACATGAGCCAGACCTCATGAGTCCAGGCCAAGAAAGGCGATAGTGCTAAACAGGATCAGCAGGTTGCCTTGAAGGAGGGACATGAAGTTGGGTGGAGACGGGGGCTTCCCAGGAGCAAATTGGGCCAAGACCCTAGAGATGATTTCTTTTCTCTCGCTCACTCAGCTAAGTCCATTCATGCCCTAAGTTTACAATACCTGGTCTCTACCGTATTGTAGCCCAGATTGAACGTATGCTTTTCTCACGAAGATGGATTCAGAATTCTTTTATTGTTAGATTGTATAAAACCTTCTACTGCTCCCCCATTTCAGTGGGTATCTCCAATTCCTTTTTTTTTTTTAAAAGATTTTATATATATATAAAAATTATGTGTATATATATATATATATATATATATATATATATACTGTGTATATATATAATTTTTTTAAGTCTTCCATTGGTTTTTTTTTAAGTCTTCCAGCTGTTTCTCCCTTTCTGCTTTACAGTTCTGCTAGAACTCCTCCGTGTCCCTATCTTTCTTTTTAAGACATATGTATGTGTATTATGATGGAGTTGCTTATCTTCCCTTTGGAGAGAATGTGTGACCTCTTACCCTGGAGGGATGTCTCTGTCCTTCAGGAGGGCTTGGTGGGTGGGGGTGGCAGTCTATTGGATTTCCAATTCGCAGCTCTCCTGGAGACTGGGAGATAATTGCATTTGCAGTGGCGGTCCCGGGACTGTCCTTTGTCCCTTTTGTTCTCCTATTTAGAAATTAAATTTCCTCCAATTATGTCCATTCTCGGTGTTGATTTGTTGCCAAAGCAGCAGCAGCAGCAGCAGCACTTTCCTGGGATGTGTATGTTTGCTAAGACCCAGTTTCAATCTCTGTCCTCACCCCTTCCAAATCCTAAAACTCACACTGCAGTCTCTCAGATTACGTTCTGGGGGTGGGGAGGGGGGGTCCTTTTATGCCGGCAGTCCTTTTTGAAGCATAAGCCTCCTTTGAGGTGTATTGTTCTGGGCTATCGTTCCTCCCCTTCTTCCTGCCGCTGTGTGCAGGGTGCGTAGCACACACACTCCACACACCAACCCACACATTCCTGGTCTTCCTGTTGGCTCTATTTTGGTCCTTGGCAATGTTGACTTCCTGCCTTTAAGCCCAAGCTTGAAGCTTAAACCCTATCCTGAAGAACGCTGGGAACTTCTACGCATCATACACCATCATCTATGGAAAGCTTTTTTATTTTTATTTTTCCAGGAAAGAGTTGCGGCAAGGAAGAGAAATGAATTGATTTAATTATTTCACTCCTCCCTTGCGTTTAGCCCCTACTGAATCAACGTCAACATCTTAAAATGTTGGTGTTCATTTGGATCAGGAAAGTCATCTAAAATACAGCCCTGCCTGGGGAATCTGAGTTGGGGATTGCTGAAATAACATCGTTGTGCTGTCTCATACGCATTGAACAGCACGTGAGCTTTTGAGCGTACATTTGTAGATCTGATGTTATACTTGGGAAGTATTCAAAATACGTTCTTTAATGGCAGCTCTATTACTTAATACTCAGAGGTTCTGGCGGCTGTTCAGAGTGAAGCACAGTGGCATGGCCTTGACACCGCATTGCGTCTGCCTTGCTTGTGCTTACTTTGCTCGCAATCACTGTCAGCCCCACTCTGATTTCCCCTTACAATGGTGCCATGAATCGTCTGCCAGAGAGACTTGATCTACAATTTAATAATGAGCTATAATCCCGAATACTAACCTTCCTCTTTGTCTTCATAAATCTCTGGGCTGTAACGACTTCATTGGTTTTCCTATGTGATCCGTCATTCAGGGAACAGTATAAGTAATCCAACACTAGCCTTCAGAAATAAAGAATCAACTATAGCCGGAACTGGTTTGGCTCAGTGGATAGAGCATCGGCCTGCGGACTGAAAGGTCCCAGGTTTGATTCCGGTCAAGGGCATGTATCTTGTTCGCGGGCACATTCCTGGTGGGGGATGTGCAAGAGGCAGCTGATTGATGATTCTCTCTCATCGATGTTTCTAACTATCCCTCTCTCTTCCTCTCTGTAAAAAAATCAATAAAATATATTAAAAAAAAAAAAAAAAGAATCCACTGTAACACTCATTCTTCCACAGACGAAGGGACTCGGGGTTCCGTTGGTCTGGGCAGCCCTAGCGCCAGCCTTCTGTTGTAGGAAGAGTTCTGAAAGTCCCCAAAAGCCATAGGGAAGTGCTAATATGTGTTTAAAAATAGCACGTCCTGAATCCCCTTTGGCTTCTGATGTCCTGCAAACGGTTGGATTTGGTTTACCACACTTGCCATGCATTGTTCTCCCATCTTTCTTTGGCCCAGTTTTCCATGACCTCTTCTCTGGTCAAATGTGAGCAAAGAGACACGTGGAAAAACAGCATCAACACAACCAAAAATCCAGCCACATGAAAAGGGAGCATCCTTCTGGCCTTCGTTCCAGCTTCAGTTATAATTCACAGCGGGCTCTCTAGCCTGTGGATTTGCTTAAAGGTGGGAAGGGTGTTTGTGAGCCTCTTATCTTTGACCAAAAGAGATACCTGAGTCTCCAAAAACCACTTTAGATCCTAAGCTCCTTTGGGCCTCTGACACAGCATTGTCTGAGGCTGCCTTCTTCTCCCGCAGCACTTGGTGGGGAAGGAGGTGTTTGCTCTGCACACAGTAGGTTCTGCATACAGTAGGTGTTTGTTCTGCACACAGTAGGTATTCACAAGGCCTGTGGGGTGTTCCCTCCCCCACACCTGGCTAACCGGGGCTAGTTCGGGAAGAACCTAGGGTGCTCAATGAATTCATGTATTTGTGTTGATTTTCCTCTGCATCTGTCTTTTCAGATCTCCTGTTCCCTATCGATATTTCCTTGGTCAAGAGAGAGCATGACTTTTTGGACAGAGACGCCATCGAGGCTCTATGCAGGTAAATGGAAATGCTGCGAGCACTTTTTTTTTTTTTTTTTTTTTTTTTTTTAAGAATAGTGTGCGTATCAGTATAAGATGGTTTTGTTTGCTTTTGTTCTAACTAATTAGGTCAGGTCTTCGATGAGCAATTGGGTATAGTGATCTGCTTCATTCTTAATCCATAGGCCTTTGCATTGAAATAAGTGAGATGCTGTTATTCAGGATTGCCATTAAAAGAGCACTGGTACTCAGCGCTGTTCCATATTCGGCACCATATGATTGCTCAGGCAGTGAACTTCAGATGGCTCAAGAGAGTACGGACAGGATTTTTCACAAGGCAATGCGGCTGACTGTACAGCCCAGCCAGGTATCCTCACAGTCAGAGCCGCTGGGGTACTAGATGGAAATAACATACTTCACAGGAGTAAATGGGGGAGAGGGAGGGGGTCTCCATACTAGAGCCAGGAGGACCGGCGCTTGGATTCCAGGAAAGCCTCTCTGAACCAGCTCCACTTTTCCAGGTACAAACTAGTAACGATAGGGTTCAAACGGCTGGAAAATAACTCAACCCAGCCTTCCACCTACGGTGGTCAGGCAGCAAATGAGCACTCATGTGAAATGTGACTAAGAGACAGGCATCCTTGTTCGTGGCGCTGGTGGGTCTTCAGGCTGGGTGTTAGAGAAGCGAAAGTAATAAGACATACAGCAATGATGGGCCTTCCAAACTTCACGGCATTTCATTTATTTTAAGTCATTCATGCTTCGTCATTTTTCTCAAAACCTATGAGCCATAAAGGCTGGATTCTGGAAAGAAAAATAATACCTAAACAAAATTCACATGCTGACTCGATTGTATGATTAAATGTTCTCTCAATGTCGGTATTTAGTTTAACTTGGGAAGACATGATTAAGATAGAATGGCATCCGATAGTTATTTCCACGTTGTCGGCAAAGAAGGCAGTGGTATTTCTGAGAAAGTATTCTTTTCTCCTTTCTTATGTAATACAGCATTTTCGGAAGCAGCTAACTTGAGCAGTGGTTTTAAAAGAGAGACAGGGAGGATGTTTAGAATGGTAGATGGAATAGACGAGTTTTCATGGTTTTAGAGAGAAAAGGGAGGGGAAAAGCCCAGTTAACCACAGAGACGCTGTCACTTTTCAAGCCCAATGAAATGACGGCTCAGAAATGTCCAGGGTTTGTGAAAGAACCCGAGGTCCAAGCCCCACACTAAGTGTGCATCGTTAGAACTATGGGCTCTGGAATGAAGAACCCGGCAGGTGAAGAGGGAAGGAGGGAAGGAGGGAGGGAGGGAGGGAGGGAGGGAGGGAGGGAGGGAGGGAGGGAGGGAGGGAGGGAGGGAGGGAGGGAGGGAGGCAGCATCTGGAATAGGAACTACTGCAGACATTCTTCAGATGTTTTCATGCTTAGTGCGTGGCAGAATTAATTTATTTTCAATTCATCACTGGCGATAACACATGGAAGTGAGGCCACTCGTATGATGTGTCCTAGAAAATATTTGCGCATTGCATCACATCATCCATTTCATATGTTTTAAGCCACTTAGTGAGTGGGCCCCTGAACAGCAGCAGCAGCAGCAGCAGCAGCAGCAGCAGCTCAGGAATTCCTGGGCCGTAAAAATGTCACTGCTGACGAAACCGGTTTGGCTCAGTGGATAGAGCATTGGTCTGTGGACTGAAAGGTCCCAGGTTCGATTCCGGTCAAGGGCATACCTTGGTTGCGGGCACATTCCCAGTGGGAGGTGTACAAGAGGCGGCTGATCTATGTTTCTCTCTCTCATCGATGTTTCTGGCTCTCTAGCCCTCTCCCTTCCTCATTTTTTTGGATTTGGAGTAAAGGGTCCCAGGTTCAATTCCTGGTCGAGGCACATGCCCGGGTTGTGGGCTTGATCCCCAGTGTGGGGCAGGCAGGAGATAGCCAATCAATGATTCTCTCTCATCACTGCTGTTTCTTTCACTCTCCCTTTCCCTTCCTCTCTGAAATCAATAAAGATTTATTTTTTAAAAAATAGATATTCAGCCCTGGCCAGTTTGGCTCAGTGGATAGAGTGTCAGCCTGTGGACCAAAGGGTCCTGAGTTTGGTTCTGCTCAAAGGCATGTAAAGCCTAATATGCAAATCCACCAAACAGCAGAACGACCAGTTGCTATGACACACACTGACCACCAGGGGCAGACGCTCAACTCAGAGGCTGCTCCCAGCCCCTATGCCGGCCAAAGAGGGTGCCAGTGGGGGATCCCCAATCATCCACAGATTGGCCCTGATTTCTGGTCAGGCCTAGGGGCCCTACCTGTGTATAAATTTTGTGCACCAGTCCTCTAGTAATAATAATAAAATTAATTTTAACCTTTTAACCGAGAGGGACCTATAAATACATCAAATGTAAACAATATCAGGAACGGGTAGGACATATAAATACGTCCTTGAAATATATGTTGCGTCCTGAGAGGGACGGTATATATTTTTTGTAATCTTTATAATTGTTTGTAAAATTTATAATTTTTTAATTCGATGTTTCCATTTTTTTGTTGGTATTCTTTTCTATTTGTTTGTAATTTTGTATTTTCCTTTGTGCTTTATATATAAATAAATGAAAAAAATATATATTTCATTTATTTTAATTAAGTATAAATAAAAAATAATAATAATATGAAATTACGTCCTTTGGGGTGACACGTCCTAGTGAAAGAGTACGCACCCGTTACAGGTTGCATAATTAAAAAGGGAGCTCCCCGGTTAACAGGTTACAAAAATAATAGATATTCATACCATCATCTTCATTTTGTTGTGAAATAGCCCTTGACATGCTTACACTACATAAAGCAGCCTGCCGTATAGTAAGTTTGTACTTTGCTATTTTCCTGGTTTATTAAGAGGGTAGTGAGTGATTTTTTTTTAAAGTAATTGCCCTAATTCCATTTAGCAATTGCACTTATCTTTGAGAATTGGAACAATCTTTATTTGTCTGGTCTTGGAAAGTTGTTTCTTCTTCTTTCCTCACTCTCCTCTTGTACTTGTCCCTGTTTTCTTTCTGAGTAAGAGGCCCAGAAGCCCGCCTGCTCTGCTTTTATCAGGGAGCTTGGAGCTCCCTGCAGCAAACCTCTTGAACCGCTGCTGGCCCACCCGAGCTCCCTCCCCGCTCAGAGCCCCGTACAAGTTGCCCAGCAGATAAGGCTGACACATTCCTGTGGAGCTGAGCCCGTGAGGGCCCCGGGTGGGAACCACCAGTTTCTGGACAGATGGTGCAATGCCATTGTTCGCCCACTCATTGCAGGAATTGTACTTAAGATATAATAGTAGCTGCTCCCATGTATTACCACGATTAGCATTTATTTTGGAAAGGAATGAAGCCCTGGCCAGTTTGCTCAGTAGATAAAACCTCAGCCCACGGACTGAAGGGTCCCGATTCAATTCTGGTCAAGGGCATGCATCTCGGTTGCAGGCTCAAACCTGGGCCCTAGACAGGGCACATGTGGAACAATTGATGTGTGTCTCTCACATCGAGGCTCCTCTCTCTCCCCGTTTCTCTAAAAAAAAAAAATATTAAAAAAAATTTTTTTTTTCAATGGAAAAATATCCCTGGGTGAGGACTAACAATTACAAAAAATGGATGAAGAAGATACTGGTTTTGCCCGGCAGGTATGGGTCAGCGGATGAGCGTCAGCCTGTGAACCAGGAGGCAGTCACAGTTCTGTTCTCGGTCAGGGGATATGCCCAGGTTGAGGGCTCTATGCCTTCCTCCCTTCCTCTTTCTCTAAAGTCAATGAAAACATATTTTTAAAAAGAAGAAGAAGAAGGTACTGTTTTTGAGTGCCAGGGCCACCGTAGTTTAGTCCTGTGGCCTTGGACAAGATTCGTGGCCGAAGCCTCCATTTCCTCACCTATAAAGGGAAGCTCAGTAAACATATGTGTACCTTAGGGTCATGGTGAGGATAATACAGGCAGAGTGCCCCACTCAGAGTGAACCCCAAAATGGTCTAGCTGGAACTGTTTTCTCCAAGTTGGTAATGTCCCACCAGTGGGCATCCTTTCAAGGTCCTAGGGGACAGTGAGTCCCCCACAAACCCAGGGAATAACTTCCAGGCTTCCAAATCGAGAGGCCATTGGTTCAGCACGACCAACAGAAAAAGATAATATTGCCGAAACCAGTGTGGCTCAGGGGATAGAGCGTCGACCTGCAGACTGAAGGGTCCCGGGTTCGAGTCCGGGCAAGGGGGCATGTACCTTGGTTGCGGGCACATCCCCAGTGGGGGGTGTGCGGGAGGCAGCTGATGGATGTTTTTCTCTCTCATCGATGTTTCTGGCTCTCTAACTCTCTCCCTTCCTCTCTGTAAAAAAAAAAAAAAAAAAAAAAAAAAAAAAAAAATCAATAAAATATATTTAAAAAGAAAAAGATAATATTGACCTTTATAAAACTGGCCTCCTGGGTCTTTTTTGTTTGACTCAAATCTAGAATTTGTGAAGTCAGCCTCTCCGACACCCCCGTAGGCCTCCGTGCCCAGTAAACCTGGCTGCAAACACTATTCCAACCAGTAAAGTCCGAATGAAGTCAAGTGGATATTTGGTTACAGGTGTGATTAACGAAACCCAGGCCTAAGACGGATGGTAACCAGTCTGGACTCTTTTTTAAGTCTTGAAAACTAAAACAAAACACTGTGGGTTCAAGTCCTCTGAGTACTGATGCCCCTCGGAGAGGGACCTTCCTTGCCCTCGTTGGAAAATCTGCTACTTTTCTGGCTTATTAGGTTTTCTCGGTGGCTTATGTTCCTGCCCTTCCCGTCAACCAAGAGAACTTCCCTGGACATAAGGTGCCACTGGGTTATCTTTGTTTATTCTCTAACCAGGCTATCGCTTAACCTGTGAAATCAAAGGCAGTCTTATCAGCAGGCAGGAGCACTATCTCTCCTCCGTGTGTCAAAAAAACGGTTAGGCTGGTTGCAAGAGCAGGACTAGAAACGTGAAGCCTGGAAGAGGCCTTTGGATTTGTGTGAGTTAAAGGCTGGCGTCCTGTGAAAAACGGGAGAATCGCAGTTGGAGCAAAACCGGAAGACTGTGGTGCAAAACAGCAGAAGGTCCATTCCAGGAAGACTTAAGTGATGATCGACTGGAAGATGCTAGAAGGAACTGGGGCCTGATGGGTTTTGCATATCATTTATTCCCGTGGGTGCAAAGGGTTTCTTTCTATAGTTAATCATGATTTGTCAGTAAGGGCTTTTTCCTTCAACTATTTCATTTCCAATGAAACTTAACTTCTATCCCTGAGTTTAACATGACTGTTTGGCAGGGGCAAAAGAAATATTCAGCTACAGTATGACTCCTGTTCGGAGGCAGAATCTTATCCGAGCCCTTAAAAAAATGAGTAGTTCCGTGATTATCACTTTTAATCATTACCAAACTTTATACTTGGAGAGAATCATCCTCTCGAGAACATTGTAAGTCTACAAGTGCCTACTCTGTAAGATTTTGATTGATCCTTGAAGCTTCAGTGATTTTAAATAATCATTTACACTATTGCTGTAACTATACCAAACATCCCACTGTACTAAAACAAAAAGTTGTACAAAGAATAGGGCATTAAAGAGTGCTTGGAGTTCCTTTTGGTATAAGGACTTGCTAGTTTTGCTGAAACCAGTTTGGCTCAGTGGATAGAGCATCGGCCTGCGGACTGAAAGGTCCCAGGTTCGATTCCTGTCACGGGCATGTACCTTGGTTGTGGGCACATCCCCAGTGGGCAGGGAGGGGGGTCGGGGTGGGTAAGGAGGCAGCTGATTGATGTTTCTGACTGTCTCTCTCCCTTCTCTGTAAAAAAAACAATAAAATGTATTTTTTTTTTTAAACTTTCTACTTTTTAAACAGGATGATTATTGGTTAGAGACTATTTTAGTTTTGAATGTGAATTTTTACTTGAGATACAGCATAGTGTTTGCCAACAGCTCTGCTTGTTTTTGTTGCTGTGACTGTTTCTGTGAAAGGAGACCAGGCATTTACCGGGTGGAGAATTCTTTGTTCCATGAAGAGTCAGAGGCACCTGACAGCACCTTCCAGAGCAGTGTGCCATCTCACTGTCCTAATATAATAGTAAAACTAAATGAAAAAACTTAAGAAATAGATATTGTGAAGCTGCTTACTTTTTAAAGAATTTTCTAATACTCTTCTAAATGATATTTATTCATGGATTCAAAGCATCTCATTAAACATGTCAACTGTTTTGGAAAAAAGAATTATATCCACCCACCAGTAGTGTCCTGTCTTTGCTAACACTATTTCTTTGCTCTGTAGGCGTCTAAACACTTTAAACAAATGTGCGGTGATGAAACTGGAAATCAGTCCTCATCGGAAAAGAGTGAGTATCTAAAGGGTATAATAGGACAGGAGGAAGGGGATAGGCCGGAAACTCGATTACGTGTTTTGTAAATGGTTTTTGTGTACGAAGTCTTACTTCCTCGTTCTCCAGAACATGGGCATGCTTAATGTAATAAACCAGTCCCAAGCTTTATGTAGTTTAGACCACTAGCTGCAGGCAGCCAATGGATTGTGTTTTCCCTGCTGTGTTTTTAAATTGAGATGTAATTTATGTATAACACTATATTAATAGAAGGCACGTAGTATAGTAATTGGATGTTTATATGTGTTACAGAGTGATTCCCCACAAGAAGTCCAGTTAAACATCAATCTCTACACATAGTTGCCATTTTTTTTCTTATGACGAGAACTTTAAGATCTACTCTCTTAGCAACTTTCAAATCTGCAATACGATACTGTTTCCTAGAGTCACTGTGCTATACATTAATCCCCAGGACTTATCTATGCTAATAAAAGGGCAGTGTGCTAATTAAACCGGTTGACTGACCATCTTCCAGATGTCCGACTTCCTTTCGGACAAAGCCATGGTGGTGGGGACCAAGGCAGAGGCAGTTAGGAGAGGTCAGGCCAACAGGGGAGGGTTATTGGGGGTGAGATGAGGGTGGCAGGGGAGGCAGTTGGGGGAGAGATCAGGCCTGCAGGTGAGGGCAGTTGGGTGTGAGATCAGGCCTGCAGGGAAGGACAGTTAGGGGCAATCAGGCACATAGTCAGGTGAGCGGCTAGGAGCCAGCAGTCCCATATTGCGAGAGGGATGTCCGAATACCGGTTTAGGTAGGGAATCAATTGGAGAGAAGGTGCAGGCTGGGTTGAGGGAATTTCGTGCACTGGGCCTTTAGTTTTATACTTATAACTGGAAATTTGTACTTTTTAACCCCCTTCACCCATTTCACCCAACCCCCTACCTCTGGCAGCCATCAGTCTCTCCTCTGTATCTCTGAGTTTTCCTGTTTTTGATCTGAAAGAAAAAAATCATCTATTCTGCCTCATTAACTCCATGCCTTCTCCATATTAAAGGGATGGGGCTGAAGGCATCAGGTAGGCTGCATTGCTCCCCACAGAAATGACAGCCAGCTCCCATACATAACGGTGTGCTTCGAAGCTGCAGAGATCTGTGGAGGCCGGGCTGTGGGGTCGTGAAGAATGCTAGGTGTGCTGGAGGGAGGAGAGGATCGGGAGAGCGGGGAGGGCAGGAAATCCCACACATGCTGGTCCAATGGTGGCACGCCACTGCGTCAGACGGTGTTCTCTCCCGGGTCTGAAGTGTGAGGCCCTTTTAGGAGATCTTAGGAGCAGGAGTGGGCGTAGCACCGGGAGTGAGAGTCACAAATTAGAGTAAACAGGAGAACGTCTGGTCCAAGGACACACTCCTGGCCGTTCGGAGCGCGCATTTTAATTACCCTGGAGGCCCTGGCCTGCAACGAGGGGCCCTTCTGGGGCAGCTGAGCCTTTGAAACACACGGACCGGAACCTCGGGACCCACGGGGCCGTGGAGAGAAGTGCCAACAAGTCCGCACTTCATGCTTCTTGACTCATTGTCCTGTCACGTGGGATTGCCCACACGGGTGGGGAGAGATGGGCGTCGTACTGAGTCACGCGTGCCTTTTGACATTTCTCCCGAGAGGCTCAGATGCAGCCGCTTGCGTTACAGCCCCACCCCACGCCCCCACGAGTCCAGCATCATCAGCAAAGATGTTACTCAGCGTGTGTGAATGTTACACATGGTCAGGCCTGGGTGTTTGGGAAGCCTGTGCAGTTGCCCAGAGCGGAACACGTCTGAGGTGTGGACACTGCACAGGACACGTGTGGCTTTAGTTCCAGCCCTGCTGTCCGGCGGGGGAGGGAATGGAAAAGAACAGGTGAAGAGGGAAACGCGTTGGACTGAAGCAGAAATGCAACGACTTCTCTCGCCTGGTGCCTCCGTTAGTCTGTTAGGAGAGCTTGTGGCCCTGTAGGGTGGCTGGAGACTTCTGTCACCGCTCTTCTTGGTGTTGAACACTACCTTTCTACTTGCAAAAGGGAATATAAACATACACAATCAACAGACAGCAGCCCTGCAGGCGGAGCAGAGGGAGTCCTCCCCGCTGCTGACTCCAGCTCGAAATATTTCGCATGCCTGGGGCTTCCACAGACCACAGAAGGTTCCTGTGAGCAGTTAAAAGTACAGCCGGTAGCCGCCAGTTTCCATAAAATGGCTTGTTTCTCTCTCTCTTTTTAATGTGTTTTTACTGGTTTCAGAGAGGAAGGGAAAGGGAGAGAAATAGAAACATCAGTGATGAGAGAGAATCATTGATCAGCTGCCTCCTGCATGCCTCACACGGGGGATCGAGCTGGCAATCCGCACACGTGCCCTGACCAGGAATCGAACCATGGCCGCCTGGTTCAAAGGCCGACACTCAACCACTGAGCCATGCCAGCTGGGCAAATGACTCTTATTTCAAGTACTTGGTCAGGCTTTTTCCTGTGATATTCTTGACATACATAGTTGTTCTTTTAAAAAAAAATAATATTATAATATAGAGATATCAGAGCCGAAACCAGTTTGGTTCAGTGGATAGAGCGTCGGCCTGCGATTTGAAAGGTCCCAGGTTCGATTCCGTTCAAGGGCATGTGCCTTGGTTGCGGGCACATCTCCAGTGGGGGGTAAGAAATCCCCCCTTACAGAAATAGCTTACAGAAATTTCTTACAGAAATAGCATAAAACCTACCACTGTTTTCATGGATTCAAAGCATCTCATTAAACATGTCAACTGTTTGGGGAAAAAGAAATGTAAGAAATCAATAAAATATACTTTAAAAAAAAAAAAAAAAAAAGCTATCAGGGAGGGGGGTGGGCAGTGTCAACCCTGTCATAAGCAGCGGCCCTCAGCACACATCCCGCTTCCTGCGGTGTGCCCGTCCCGGGGACCAACGGCTTCCTTCTGTCTTTTCAGAGCGAGGACTCGGACGAGGATGAGCCTTGCGCCATCAGCGGCAAGTGGACCTTCCAGAGGGACAGCAAGCGGTGGTCCCGGCTGGACGAGTTCGACGTCTTCTCCCCAAAGCAGGACCCGGTCCCGGGGTCCCCCGAGGAGGCTCCCCGCCTGCAGGGCGCCCCGAGCCACGAGAGCATGCTGACGGACCTCAGCGAGCGCCAGGACGCGGCCTCCGTCCGCAGCCTCAGCAGCACCGGCAGCCTCCCCGCCCACGTGGCCCACGGCAGCGGCGGGGACACGGCCACGGCCACGCCCCGGACCGACTCGGTCCTCAGCGTCTGCTCCTCCTCCGCCGGCCACGGGGGCCACGGGGGCCACGGCCCCTTCGCGGGCCACCACGACGACGACTCCTTCTGCAGCCTGCCCTCCCCCAAGGAGCTGTCCAGCTTCAGCTTCGGCACGAAGGGCCCCGAGAAGGCGGCCGCCAAGACGTCCAAGGCGCGCAGCCTGCTGAAGCGCATGGAGAGCCTCAAGCTGCGGGGCTCCCAGCACGGCAAGCACAAGGCGGCGGCGGCGGCGGCGGCGGCGGCGGCCCCCTGCAACAAGCTGGGGCTCCTCATCAGCGGGCCCGTCCTGCAGGAGGGCCTGGACGAGGACAAGCTGCGGCGGCTCCACTGCGTGGAGATCGCCGCGCTGCACGGCAACCACATCCACGTGCCCGCCGCGCGCAAGAGGAGCGTGTCCAACTCCACGCAGACCAGCAGCAGCAGCAGCCAGTCCGAGACCAGCAGCGCCGTGAGCACGCCCAGCCCCGTCACCCGCACCCGCAGCCTCAGCGCCTGCAACAAGCGCGGCGGCATGTACCTGGAGGGCTTCGACCCCTTCCGCCCGCCCGCCTTCCCCGACGTGGCCGAGCGCAACCTCAGGAACCACCACCGCCGCCGCCGCGGCCGCGGCCCCGAGGAGGACGCCGTGTTCTACATCCCCGAGGACCACAAGCCCGGCACCTTCCCCAAGGCCCTCTCCCACGGCAGCTTCTCCCCTGCGGGGAATGACGGCGGCTCCGTGGTCAACTGGAGGACGGGGAGCTTCCACGGGCCGGGCCACGTCAGCCTGCGGAGGGAGCACAGCGGCGGCGGAGGAGGCGGCGGCGGCGGCGACGGCCCCAAGGAGCTGAGGCGGCGCAACTCCTCCAGCTCCGTGAGCAGCCGCCTGAGCATCTACGACAACGTGCCCGGCTCCATCCTGTACTCCAGCTCGGGCGACCTGGCCGACCTGGAGCACGAGGACATCTTCCCCGAGCTGGACGACATCCTGTACCACGTGAACGGCATGCAGAGGATCGTGAACCAGTGGTCGGAGAAGTTCTCGGACGAGGGGGACTCGGACTCGGCCCTGGACTCCGTGTCGCCGTGCCCGTCCTCCCCGAAGCAGATCCACCTGGACGTGGACCACGACCGCGCCACGCCCAGCGACCTGGACAGCACCGGCAACTCGCTGAACGAGCCCGAGGAGCCCACCGACGTCCCCGAGAGGAGGGACTCCGGGGTGGGCGCCTCCCTGACGAGGTCCAACAGGTAAGCAGCGCTCTGGTGCCCATTCCTCCCGACGGGGACACACACACACACACACACACACACGGACAGACGGGGCGTCCGAGAGAGGCACCACCTCTGCTGGTCGTGGAGGGGACATAGGATCGCGGAAGCCTGGCATTTGTAGCCAGGGATGTGCCGGAGAAGGAGGCGGGCAGACTGGGACAGGCTAGCATCCCCCCACAGAATGGATGTTGTCCAAATGGCAGTGGACTTGCAGGCGGGGAAGATGAAGGTAGAGGTTCTATAGATGGAGGGTGGTGGTGGTGGTGGTGCAACCATGTGCGTGTATTTTTTTTTTTTTAATATATTTTATTGAGTTTTTACAGAGAGGAAAAGAGAGGGATAGAGAAAGCTAGAAACATCGATGAGAGAGAGAGAGAGACATCCATCAGTTGCCTCTTGCACATCCCCCACCAGGGATGTGCCCGCAACCAAGGTACATGCCCTTGACCGGAATCGAACCTGGGACCCTTCAGTCCGTAGGCTGACTCTCTATCCACTGAGCCAAACCCGTGTCGGCCCATGTGAGTGTATTGAACGCCCCTGAGCCGTGCACTTCAAAGCGGGGATGGCGGTAGGTGTTAGCTGTTTCCGAAGCCGAGTCCTGTCCGTTCCCCGGACACGAAGCCAGGGGCGGCTGCTGATGGTCGGCTGCCTCCGAGCGCCTCGGACTGACCCCGCTCTCCTCCTGCAGGCACCGGCTGCGGTGGCACAGCTTCCAGAGCTCGCACCGGCCCAGCCTCAACTCGGTGTCGCTGCAGATCAACTGCCAGTCCGTGGCCCAGATGAACCTGCTGCAGAAGTACTCGCTCCTGAAGCTCACGGCCCTGCTGGAAAAGTACACGCCCTCCAACAAGCACGGCTTCAGCTGGTAAGAGCTCCTTCCGCCCCGGGAGCCGTGGCTGGAGGTTTCCGCTCAGCTCCTCCGACTGCCCCGACACTGAATATGTGGCAGCCCCGTCGCTCCGGCGTCGTTAGCCAGTCACTCTCTGCCCGGTGGTGGCCACATCTGATGCTGCGTGAGCTGTAGGGACTTAGGGACTTGCCGGCAGGGCGGTTGGTTGAGTTTTCAGCTCTCCCAGGGACAGATTGCCAGTGGATGGGGCGAGCATGCATCTCTCTCTTCCATTGAATTGTCCCAGGGGTAGGAGGAACCCGTCGTAGGTAAATATATGTGCGGTATCTTGATTTTGGAAAGAAGGAAGGGAAAATGTCATTTAGAAATGTTTTTCTTGATTTCAGAGAGGAATGGGAAAGGAGAAAGATAGAAACAGCAATAATGAAAGAGAATCTTTGATCGGCTGGCCTCTTGCCCTCCCCCATGTGGGGATCAAGCCTGCAAACCTGGGCATGTGCCCCGACAGGGAATCGAACCGTGACCTCCTGTTCACGGGTCGACGCTCAACCACTGAACCCACACAGGCCCAGCGGGAAAATGTAGTGTAGATGCTGCTGTGAGGCGGACGTTAAAATGCTTGGTATACACTGCTTGGCTTTAATTCCCTGCTGGGTGCTTCTGGAAAGCATTTTTGATGTGACTCTTCACGGCATCCCTCACCGATCTGCCTGTGCCAAGGATCTTCTGTCTTTTCCAACAAATACTCTTACACCGTGACGAATCTAAAATATCACAGAGTGAGATATATGTAAACACGGGCTATCCACAATTACGTGTGAAAATATTGCCCCTCGGGTACATAACTGCTGGGCTGGATGGGTCATGGATATGACCTAATACCTACATCTTCGCTTCCCTCTCCATGCAAAACAGAGATGAGTCCCTAGATTGTCATCCCAGCGCATTCCACAGTGTCAGCTGGGTGTTTGTAAGTGTTCTCGCCCATCTGCGTGTTTGTTATCCGGTTGCACAACTACTGTTTTTGCTACAAACGGGGAGCAGCCCGTTCGGGTGGAGGGGGGAGTGTCCCAGCCCGGCGGAGCTGCCTGTGAGTCAGCCGGGCAGCGGGCAGCGGAACCGGCTCCCTCTCGGGACTCATCGTGAGTTGAACTCCAGCATCAAAGCGCCTCCTGTTCAAAGGCTGTTATTATGCGAGCCCTGCTAAATACAGGAGTTGTTTGTTCGGGTCGACAGAAATAAGCATTGACCGGTTTAGCCCCGCGTGCTTCGGATTCTCGGCAGTGATGGTAATGTGTTCCCTGCACATTCGGGCTCCGGTGCCCCCGACAAAGCCGGCATTATGCCCGCGCCTCAGCCGGGATCCCGTGGACTTAACCGTATGGAAATACACATTTGGCCCCACGTCTCGGCTCTGCCTCTCCCGCAGCTATAAACAGTGCCGTGTTGTGGCTGTTGGGACAGGCCCAGAAGTCAAGGCCGGGGGCGTCCCCCCTGCCGGTGCCCCTGGGCGGAGAGTCCCATTTCCCCGATGGCTATTTAAAACTGCATAGTTCACATTCTCGCCGCTGGCTGAGCGGGTCCGCCCCCCTCCCCCCCCTTCCCACCAAACCCTCAAGCATCTGCGAGTCCATAATCCTTCTGGAGTTCTGGTCAGTTTTTCCAGTGAGTCAAGACCAGCCTGTAAAAAGCCTGGCGTTGTGGGATCCCCGGGGCGGGGAGAAATCCGACACAGAATTCTTTTCCTGTTAGTCCTGGCCCTCGCGTGTCCCGCGCACAGAGGGCGTTTGTCGGGCCTGACAGCGTCAGAGGCGTGACATTGGTTTCCTGCTGTTAGGGATTCTGCGGGGCGGACCTGCTCTCGGGGCTCCGGGGAGCAGGGACCAGGCCACAAAACCCTCCTTGTTCTTTTTTCCATCTTCCTCGGGCACCTGGAGGCGTTCCGTCCTCCCGCTCAGCAGCGGGAGGGTGGTTTTGATGTCAGGTCGTGAGCGTGGCCCCACATTGCTGAGCCCTGGAGTTGGGGTCCCTGTGTTTGACCAGCATCCTGGATTTGCTGTTTCTGTCATCCAACTTTGCCTGATCCTTATTTTTCTTTTCTTTTTATTTTATTGGTTTCAGAGACAGAGAGAGAGAGATGGGAACATCAATGATGAGAGAGAATCATGGATCAGCTGCCTCTTGCCCCCATCCCCAAGTGGGGATTGAGCCTGCCACCTGGGCATGTGCCCTGCCTGGGAATCTAACTGTGTGATCTCCTATCCTAGTTCATGGGTCGACCACTTTTTACCCTAAACCAGCCGGGCTGACCCTTTTTACCCTAAACACTTGGGTTCTCGTAAAGAACTTAGAAATTGTTCTTGTCCATTTTCACAACGAAGGGGACCTAATTTTTCACACTCTGTCATGAGGCGCTGAAGGAGGGTCTGGCAGGGTGTCTTCTGCCTCTGTTTCTTCCCGTGCCACCATTTGCTAAGGAAGCCCATCAGTTCCCTTAAGGATGTCAATGCGCCCCTGGCCAGGTAGCTCAGTTGGTTAGAGCATCATCCCAATATACCAAGATTACGGGTTCAATCCCCAGTCAGGGCACGGACAAGAATCAGCCAATGAACGCAGAAATACGTAAAACAATCAATCGGTCTTTTTCTCTCTCGCTCCCTCTTTCAAAAAAAAAAAAAAATCAATTAAAAAATAATAATATAGCTGAAACTGGTTTGGCTCAGTAGATGGAGCGTCGGCCTGCGGACTGAAAGGTCCTGGGTTCAATTCTGGTCAAGGGCATGTGCCTTGGTGGCGGGCACGTCCCCAGTGGGGGGTGTGCAGGAGGCAGCTGATCGATGTTTCTCATCAATGTTTCTAACTCTCTATCCTACTCCCTTCCTCTCTGTAAAAAAATCAATAAAATATATAATAATAATAATAATAATAAATAATAATATAGACCCAATTCTCGGCCTTCACAGTGGAAGGAGAACCCTTCCTGAGGCAGGGTGGCTGGCCTCCCACAGCACCTCCAGCAGAACTGTCTGGGATGGCGGAAATGTTCTAAATTCGCACAGCCCAGGACGGCCAGTGCGTGCTTGAAATGTGGCTGGTGCCGCTGAGGACCCAATTTTTCTAATTTTACGTCACTTACGTGTAAATAGCCATCTTCGTGGTCCCACCTGGGGCCCGCGGGGTTGGCCTGCGGAGATGGACCAGAGCAGGCAGACAAGTAAACACCTCGCCTCCCCTCCGCTGTTCCTTACACAGGGCCGTGCCCAAGTTCATGAAGAGGATCAAGGTTCCCGACTACAAGGACCGGAACGTGTTCGGCGTCCCCCTGACCGTCAACGTGCAGCGCTCGGGCCAGCCCCTGCCCCAGAGCATCCAGCAGGCCATGCGCTACCTCCGAAACCACTGTCTGGACCAGGTGAGAGCCACGGCGGGACCTCGTCCCTCTCGAGTCCTGTCGCGAAGGCGCTGCTGCCATCTCGACCCTTCGTGTTTTTCTTCTTCCAACAGGTTGGGCTCTTCAGGAAGTCGGGCGTCAAGTCCCGGATCCAGGCCCTGCGCCAGATGAACGAGAGTGCCGTCGACTATGTCAGCTACGAGGGGCAGTCCGCTTACGACGTGGCCGACATGTTGAAGCAGTATTTCCGAGATCTCCCGGAGCCGCTCATGACGAACAAACTCTCGGAAACCTTCCTGCAGATCTACCAGTGTGAGTTGTTCTTGGGTCTTAACCCTGGTTGGAGGTGGGAGGAAATGGGACCAACGAAAAACTCTAGCTGCCTTTTTTTTTTTAAAAGAGAGAGAGAGAGAGAGAGAGAGAGAGAGAGAGAGAGAGAAATGAGCCCTGAGACAGAGAGAGAGAGAGAGAGAGAGAGAGAGAGAGAGAGAGAGAGAAATGAGCCCTAACCGGTTTGGCTCAGTGGATAGCGGCCTGCAGACTGGAAGGTCCCAGGTTCGATTCCAATCAAGGGCATGTACCTTGGTTGCGGGCATATCCCCAGTAAGAGGTGTGCAGGAGGCAGCTAGCTGATCGATGTTACTCTCATCATCTCTGACTCTCTATCCCTCTCCCTTCCTCTCTGTAAAAAAAAAAAAATCAATAAAATATATATCTTAAAAATAAAAAAGAGAAACCGTCAGTTCAGATTTTTATATGCATTCTCTGAATTTTTAAAAAATATTTAGTTATTTATTTATTTTAGAGGGAGATAGAAACATCAGTGATGAGAGAGAATCATTGACCGGGTGCCTCCTGCACAAGCCCCCTTAGGGGATCAGGCCCACAATCCGGGCATGTGCCCTGACCCAGAATCGAACCGGTGCCTCTTGGTTCCTGGTTCAGTGCTCAGCCGCTGAGCTACACCAGCCGGGCACCACTGGCTACCTACCTGATGCCTCTTGGAAGCACACATTATCGATTTCTTCCTTGCCTCCTCGTTTGTGGACGGGGTTTCTGTATACCTATGGATGTCATCATTCTCTCGTTATTGAAGCAATTGCACATTTTCACCTTCTGTTCTGGAGCTCAGTCTTCCGTTAGTTTCTAGAACAGGGTTTCCTAAGAAGCTTAAAAGGGCAGGTACCAAGATCTTTCTCTCTCTCGCTCTCGCTCTCACTCTCGCTCTCGCTCTCGCTCTCTCTCTCTCCATCTTCTGGATGGAAATTTCAGTTGCCTCACATCCCTCCAGCAGGACCTGCTGTGTTTAAAACTTCCCAGGTGTCTGTGTCTTTTATCTCGATGTTCAATGAATAAATAATCCTTTTCTGTTCTTCTCGGCAACTGCCAGAAATACTTGGGAACACAATACTCGTGCCCCTCGCACTTTTAAGTAGAGCTTAAAGCAAACAGTCACCTACATGAAGGATGAGGATTGGGATGACAGCTCTCACAGCCCGGTGCTGTTCCTGGCTCCGGGTCGTGGTCCGGCCCTGTCACTGGAAAGCAGCTCCTCTCCGCGTTCCCATCGCCTTGAGCTGCTGGCGCGCTGGATTCTCTTTTATGAGAAATGGAGCTGGCCTGGGTTATTTCATTATTTGTTTCATCCTTTCAAGGTTTTATGAAAACACAGGTCACATTTTCCCCGCCAAGGTATTTGTTGTGTGTGGTAACCATGGCGCTGTTTAACCGGCTCAGCCTATGGCACTGCATCTGGGTGACTCGGTTTTTCCACCACGTGCCTTTCTGAGAGAGAGTTTGGCCTGGGAAAGGGGGCCCGAAGGCTGGCTCCAGCATTTTCTTTCTTTTAATATATTTTATAGATTTTTTGCAGAGAGGAAGGGAGAGGGATAGAGAGCCAGAAACATGGATGAGAGAGAATCAGCTGCCCCCCCTACTGGGGATGTGCCTGCAACCAAGGTACATGCCCTTAACTGGAATCGAACCTGGGACCCTTGAGTCTACAGGCCGACGCTCTATCCACTGAGCCAAACCCGTTAGGACTGGGTGCAGCATTTCCTACGTGTGCACTAGTTCCTGGGCCTCGTTCTCTGGCCCGTGTTTCTATCATAGCCTCTCGGTAGGCTTTCTGAAGTTTAAAGAAATCGCTGATCACATACGTCTGTCGTTTACATTGGCTGAATATTTGAGCAGCTTCCTTTTTCCACTTCAGGAATGAGTGGCAGCCGAAACCGGTTTGGCTCAGTGGATAGAGCGTCGGCCTGCGGGTTCGATTCCGGTCAAGGGCATGTATCTTAGTTGCGGGCACACCCCTGGTGGGGGGTGCGCAGGGGGCAGCTGGTCGATGTTTCTCTCTCATGGATGTACCTAACTCTCTATCCCTCTCTCTTCCTCTCTGTAAAAAATCAATGAAATGTATTTTTTAAAAATAATAATGAGTTACTAGTGTCCAAGTTCCCGGAGCTCCGGAACGTTTTGTAGGAAAGACAGGAAGCCTCCGGCCTTCCCCTCGGACACTTGCCTTAGATAAGATGTTTTGTTGACGCTGCACCAGAGCATAAGCGCAGATTGTCCTTCAGAAACGGAGAAGGATGAATCGGGGCTTTCTAAGAAGTACTGGGAGAGAAAAAGAGTTATGCAAACTGAACCAGCAGGCCCCGTCGGGGGCCGAGCTCGGAGGTGGGCTTAGGCGTGTGTGGGCAGGGTGGGTGTTTCAAACATCTCGCCTCCTCCAGCAGGAAACACTGGAGGGCAGTGACGCTGGTGCGGCCCTCATTTCTCCCCTATTCACCTCGAGTGCACTCTCCACGAGTGCTTGCTCGGGGCGGGCCGAGGGCTTTGATGCTGATGTGTTTACTTTGGGACGTTTCCCCTCGATGCCCGTGGCTGACGGGGAAAACGCTGGTGTTTGCAGATGTGCCCAAGGACCAGCGCCTGCAGGCCATCAAGGCGGCCATCATGCTGCTGCCAGACGAGAACCGGGAGGTGCTGCAGACGCTGCTGTACTTCCTGAGCGACGTGACGGCCGCGGTGAAGGAGAACCAGATGACGCCCACCAACCTGGCCGTGTGCCTGGCGCCCTCGCTCTTCCACCTCAACACCCTGAAGCGGGAGAACTCCTCCCCCAGGTAGGGCCCGGGCCGGACACACCATCAAGCTCCCCTTCGGGGGCTGTCCTGTCTTCTCGTGGGGTCCCCTCCTCATGTCCCGCGTTCTCATGGGGTCTCCTCCTCATGTCCCGTGTTCTCATGGGGCCCCCTCCTCATGTCCCGTGTTCTCGTGGGGCCCCCTCCTCATGTCCCGTGTTCTCGTGGGGTTCACTCCTCATGTCCCCGTGTTCTCTTGGGAATCCCTCCTCATGTCCCCGCAGCCCATGTGACTAAGGTGACCAGACGTCCTGCTTTTGGCGGGACAGTCCCGATTTTTAACAATTTGAAAACACCATGGGGCAAATTGTTGAAAATTGGGACATCTGGTCACCTTACGACGTGACCCTCCTGTCTTCCTAGCCCTGGGCCTGTGACTGCCCGGACACACTAGTGCAGCGGTTGGCAAACTCATGAGTCCACAGAGCCAAATATCAACCGCACAACGATTGAAATTTATTTTCTTTTTCTTTTTTTCTTTTAATATATTTTTATTGATTTTTTTTTACAGAGAGGAAGAGAGAGGGATAGAGTTGAAACATCGATGAGAGAGAATCATTAATCGGCTGCCTCCTGCACACCCCCCACTGGGGATGTGCCCGCAACCAATGTACATGCCCTTGACTGGAATCGAACCTGGGACCTTTCAGTCCGCAGGCCGACGCTCTATCCACTGAGCCACACTGGTTTCGGCTGAAATTTCTTTTTGAGAGCCAAATTTTTTAAACTTAAACTTCTTCTAATGCCACATCTTCAAAATAGGCCCCCTGGTGTTTTGTGGAAGAGCCACACTCAAGGGGCCAAAGAGCCGCAGTTTGCTGACCATGGTTCTAGGGGGAAGAAGAAAGGTTCATGCTTCAGCATGGGAGTGTACGGCCAGTGTCGCCCAGAGCCCTCTGTGACGTTATCATCAGCCTCTGCCAGCAGAGCCCCAGATGTACTGACATAAACATTGGCAGGGGGGAGACACATAGGCCCAGCCTTGGTGCCCACAGAGAAAGAGGCGCCCAGCTCCTGGCCTGGGCCAGAGCTAAGAGAACTGAACATAAGGCGGAGCCTGCAAGCTTAAAGTTCAGCCCATGGTTTGCGGAGTTTCTCCTCCAATGCCTGCAAGGCGGGAGTGGCGTGGCTATAGGAGAAGCCGGGGAATCTGGGAAAAGGAACCAAGACCGATGTTTGCTCAGCACTTAGTCCGTCCCAGTCACGAGACTGCACCCTTGACATTCATAAAATTCTCCCTGAACCCTCAGAACAATCGCAGGAGGCGAGGATGATAACGGCGCGTCCGCTTTCCAGGAGGGGACAGTGGGGCTGCGGGGAGGCCAGCCAGGGAAGTAGCTGGCCCGGGCCTGGAACGGAGAAGTGCAGAGCCAGTGGGAGCCTCTGACTTCTGAGAATCCTTCTCATCAAGGCCTCATGGTCTGAGCTAGAAGCCAGGGCCTGGTGCTTGCTGAAGTAGTTTTGCTTCTGGAAACCAGGCAGTGCTTAAAGATCCTTGATTGTTGATAAGCATTTCAGCTTTTTTTTTTTTTTTTTTAATCTTTATTGTTGAAAGTATCACTTCCCCCTTTTCCCCCCTAGGGACACCCACACCAGCCCACTCCCCACGCCCCTAGCTGTTCAGCTTCAATGGGATGGAGAACAGAGAGGAACCCCAGAGAGAGATCAGATAAGATTAAAGCAGAACTTTGAGGAAACAATGGATTTCCCCTCACCTTTGGGAGGGGCCTGGTTATCTGGATGGAGAAGAATGGGGACCCTTTACCTACCCCAGGGACCGGCACCTCCCACCCACACCCTTCTTACTGCCCCTCCCCCTCCCCGGCACACACCCACAGCTCCCCTAGGTACTAAATAGGAGCTACTTAACGTGCTGGGGTATCTAAAGAGCCTAGATATCCTTGAAAACGGTCTCTTTTCGTGTGTGTGTGTGTGTGTGTGTGTGTGTGTGTGTGTGTGTGTGTGGTGATGGTGTTGATAAAACTGAAAAATTCTAGAGACCAAAGCTCTCTTGGGCGGGTGGGTGGGAAGGAAGATTAATCAAAGAATTTCTATGCTTATGTGCCTAACCCCATGGAAACTGATAATAGGTCTGGGATGGGGAGGGGAGGAGAAAGGAGGCAGGTGCCAGCCAGAAGGGGTCAGTGGGGGAGAAAGAGGACATCGGTAATACTTTGGACGATAAAGATAAATTTTTTAAAATAATAAAAGTTCTCTTGAACCCTTTCATGGCAGGTAGGCTCCCGTGAGCTGTTCATTCTCTCCTTTGGGTGTCCTTAACTCACACATTGATTTAAAAATAGGTGAATATTTGAACCTTTCCCCTCCTGTTTCTTCCGCCCAGGGTAATGCAAAGAAAACAGAGCTTGGGCAAACCAGATCAGAAAGATTTGAATGAAAACCTCGCTGCCACTCAAGGGCTGGCCCATATGATTGCTGAGTGCAAGAAGCTTTTCCAGGTGAGGACTTGAGGAGGTTTGCTGTTTGGTAAGGATGACGTGGGTAGGGACGAAATTGCAGGTGCATCCATCTTACCACAAGATCTCTTCCCCAGCTGGAGAGCACATATGCAGAACCCGACAGTGTCTCATTATATATACCCTGTTTCCCCGAAAATAAGACAGTGTCTTATATTAATTTTTGCTCCCAAAGATGTGCTAGGTCTTATTTTCAGGGGATGTCTTATTTTTCCATGAAGAAGAATACAGTACACATTTATTGTTAAATGAAAATAAAGGAAATTTATTACCTGTATATGGTACGGTAGTACGGTAGTTGTCAACACAAACCAGACAAACTGTGAATCCTACAGTATCAAGAATTTACTCATTTATTCAGTGACAATCATGTCATCATCTTCTGGAACATCATCATAACAATCCAATTCCTGAATTTCCTGGTGAATTTCTTGTGACTCCATTTCTTTCAGAATCAGTGGACTAAATCTCTCATGTTTAGCCTAGGGAGGGGGGGCCATTATTTTCGGGGGGATGCCTTATATTTCACTCAGAAGGAAGCCTGTAAGTAGGTCTTATTTTCGGAGGATGTCTTATTTTCGGGGAAACATGGTATGTTACAACATAAGCCAAGTAGAGATAGTATGCTTAATGAAATGCCTACCTCCATACCCCTTATAAAAGCAACAAATTTCATGCAGTAAATACTGTATCTGAGACACGTGCCTTCATCAATGTAAGCCCTGTGTTAGTCACTTACCTGCTACGTGACTTCTCAGATACCTTACACTGGAATGAGGTATCCATAGCCTCGTGATAGCATATAAGGTGGGCAGGACATCCTCCAGCTTTTGGGAATGGGGATTGGACTGCCTGCACCACCTTGGGGACCCAGCCTGGTTTCTGCCCTGTCCCTTCACCGCTGGACAACGACAGTGTGCGCAGGTGGACTAACTTCCTTTTTAAAAAAAAAAAAAAAAATGTGTTTTTATTAATTTCAGAGAGGAGAGGGGGAGAGAGATAGAAACCTCATTGATGAGAGAGAATCCATTATTGGCTGCCTTCTGCACGCCCCCTACTGGGGATCAAGCCCACAACCTGGGCACGTGCCCTTGACCGGAATCGAACCCAGGACTGCCCAGTCCACAGGCTGGGATACTCTATCCACGGAGCCAAACCGGCGAGGACATCCCCCAACCTCCTTTTGGCCTCGTGTTCCTCGCAGGTTCCCGAGGAAATGAGCCGATGCCGCAACTCCTACACCGAGCAAGAGCTGAAGCCCCTCACTCTCGAAGCGTTGGGACGCCTCTGCACCGACGAGTCCGCCGACTACCAGCACTTCCTGCAGGACTGCGTGGACAGCCTGTTCAAGGAGGTCAAAGACAAGTTCAAAGGCTGGGTCAGCTGCTCCACGTCCGAGCAGGCCGAGCTGTCCTATAAGAAGGTAGGTCGTCCCTCTGTCGGCAGCCAGTGGAGTTCCAGGGGTCAGACCTTGGGCTCCTTAGGGACGAGACCCTGTTGCCCACACAGCTCCGCATGGGGACCTGGCACCCGCCCCCTCTCCTGCACAGCTGGGCGGCCAGGGGATTCAGACCCCCAGGTGAGAGCGGGAGCCAGCCCAGCGAGGAATACCTGTCAGAGGAATCAGACAGCTGGTTCCATGTGATGCTTCCATGGCATTACACCAGAGTGCCCCGGAGTGTTTTACCAGGGTGTTGGGCTTAGGCCTTGCAGAGCAGAGCGGCGTGGGTTTTTCCATAGTTTGGTCAGAGTCCCCTTGCATGCTCCACTCTACTCTTTTTTTTTTTTTTTTTTTTTTTAAGTCTTTTGTTTATTGTCAAAATTTAAACCAACAGTTGTGATTTATACTTCATAACATAAACTAGTGGCCCGGTGTACGAAATTCGTGCATGAGGTGGGGTTCCCTCAGCCCCATCTGCACCTTTTCCGATTGGGGACCCCCCTTGGGGAATCTCTGACCTCCAGACGGACATCCCTCTTGCAATCTGGGACTCTTGGCTTCTAACTGCTCACATACCTGCCTGCCTGATTGCCCCTAACTGCCCTCCCCTGCCAGCCTGATCTCACCCCCACCTGCCCTCCCCTCTTGGCCTGATCTCACCCCCAACTGCACTCCCCTGCTGGCCTGGTTGCCCCTCCCCAACTGCTCTTTCCTGCCAGCCTGATCTCATCCCCAGCTTCCCCCCCTGCTGGCCTAATCACCCCTAACCCCCTGTAGGCCTGATCTTTTTTTTATTTTTTATTTTATTAAATAGGTTTTATTTATTTCTCCACCCCCTACATCCCCCCATAGTCGGGCCTGGTTAGTACTTAGATGGGAGTCCACTCTACTCTTGGGCTTTTGAAGAGCAGAGAGCTGTCAGGGGAGAAATAGATTTGCTGGGACTGCACGCCTGTGAGGGTGGGCACACGTTGGGTGGCTTAGCCCGGTAGGCCCACCACAGGTGTTTGTTGACACTGTCTCCACCACAAAGAAATAAGCCAGGAAGGCAGTCCAGATGGCCATGCAGACTTGGGTGCAAATAAAGGGTCCTCCTTGATTGCATTGACCCTGATAGGGGTACCAGGGGAACATGGGACAGTCTGAACCCGAGGTGACCCCAGCGGATCTGTCCACGTCTGGCCTAACTCTCGGGGACGGCAGCCTGTTAAAGCGATAGGCGGTCGTTAGCCTCCACACGGACGACCGTGCACGGGACTAGCGAGTTGCCTTCCAAGTCTGGGTGTGTGTGTGTGTGTGTGTGTGTGTGTGTACTAGTTGTCTCGGCCCTGAAAGGTGCGTCCTCTCTCCAGGTGAGCGAAGGGCCCCCTCTGAGGCTTTGGCGGTCGACCATCGAAGTCCCCGCGACGCCCGAGGAGGTCTTGAAGCGCCTTCTGAAAGAGCAGCACCTCTGGGACGTAGACCTGTTAGACTCCAAAGTGATCGAGATCCTGGACAGCCAGACTGAGGTTTACCAGTATGTCCAGAACAGCATGGCGCCCCATCCTGCTCGGGACTACGTCGTTCTGAGGTGAGAGCTTCTCAGTTGATCACGCATGTTCAGTATTTTTTTGTTGTTGTTGTTCGTTTGTTTTTTTTAAATATATTTTATTGATTTTACACAGAGAGGAATTGAGAGGGACAGAGAGTTAGAAACGTCGAGGAGAGAGAGAGAGAAACATCGACCAGCTGCCTCTTGCACACTCCCACTGGGGATGTGCCCGCAACCACAAGTACGTGCCCTTGACTGGAATTGAACCTGGGACCTTTCAGTCCACAGGCCGACACTCTATCCACTGAACCAAACCAGTTTCGGCTGTTTCATGTTTTTTAATTGATATCAGAGAGAGGGAGAGAGAGATAGACATATCCACAATGAGGGAGACTCACCGATCGGCTGCCTCCTACACACGCTCTACTGAGGATTGAGCCCGCATCCCGGGCGTTGTGCCCTGAGCGGGAATTGAACCCTGGCCTCCTACTTCATGGGTCAATACTCAACCACTGAGCCACACTGGCCGGGCCCAAATTGGTGATGGTGGCCAGGGTGAGCCGGTGGGCCACTGAATAAGATGGTAAAATTACTCCCAATAGAACGAATACCTCCCTGAAGTTGTTGAGCCTTTGCAAATATGAAAAATAGACCTGCTTTTATCCCAGTAGCATGTCCATCCCTGAAGTGGTTTGGACTCTTTTTGGACTTGAGCTCAGAGAGAGAGGACACTCCATTGGATGCACATCCTGGTGGCAGACGCTTCCCCCTTTTAGAGTGGCTGTTCTTGTTGGAAGCAGCTGACGGATGCCTAAGCCAGGAAATAACATCCGGGTTCCCATGTTCCCAGGGGGTGGCTGCTGAGGCCGATTTATATCTAATTCATAATTCTCGGGAGACATGATTGGGAGAGGAATTCCAAGAATCTTTGAGGAACCGTCGCATTCTTAGTCCAGAAGTTTTCCAACAGAGCAGCCTTTATCCGGATGCTTTCTCTCTCCGGCAGCTGGGTGATGTTGGGATGGTGTCCGGTCACACTTCAGACCGGTTGGTTCTCTCTGAAAAAGCTGGCTGTGTGAGCAGGTCCGCCTCCTGGGGATGTGGCTCTGGACGGAGCTCTCAGTCCCGAGTGCTGGCACCCTGGTTCCCGCAGGGCGGGCCACACAGCAGGACCACCGAGCCCGTCCAGCCTTCAGTGTCTCTGGGAGGGAGGCCCCATCTGGCTTCCAGGAAGTTGTATTTATTTTTTCCTTCCTCTGGTTTTGTCTCCACAGGACATGGAGGACTAACTTGCCCAAGGGGGCATGTGCCCTTTTATTCACGTCCGTGGATCATGACCGGGCACCCGTGGTGGGGGTGAGGGTCAACGTGCTCCTGTCCCGGTATCTGATCGAACCCTGCGGGTCAGGGAAATCCAAACTCACCTACATGTGCAGGGCTGACTTAAGGTATGTCCTGGTCCTGGGTTTTGGGGTTTTTTTTTTACATGGTGAGGGTGACGGGGAAGACTGAGACTTTGGGCCTGGTGCAGAGAGTGGCTTAAATGAGTCCACTGTGCATCTCAGTTACCCCAGGAAGCGTGGTGCTGAAGTAACACATTCGTGTTCCTTGGCCTCTGGGGACCACGGCCTGCTTTCGGTCCTTTAGTTTAGGAAATAGAGCGCTAAAGTCATGTGGATACGGTGCCTCTGCCGTGAATGGAAAGCCACTGGAAATACGAGTTTGAACGAGCAAGCAAGGTTTTCTCATCTTACGGTCAAAGGTGTCTGAATCATGGGCCATGCATGCCCTTTTAGTAATTAGCCAGGCCTGTCTATTCTTTGCCACAGATCAGTGTGTATTAGTATCAGAAAAGTAGTGCAATGCAGCATAACAGACAAAAAACAAAGCTCTACAAATTCCGTCCCCAGTGGCTCTCGAGTTCCATAAAGTCTCATTGGAAGTCTATACGTCTCAGCACTTCTGGGGCACCTGTGGGCTCTATTTTTGTTAACTCGCCGCAGCTCTCCCTAAACAGCTTTTTTTTTTAACATTTCTTTTTATATATATTTTATTGATATTTTACAGAGAGGGAGAGAGAGTTAGAAACATCGATGAGAGAGAAACACACCCATCAGCTGCCTTCTGCACACACCCCACTGGGGATGTGCCCACAACCAAGGTACATGCCCTAGACTGGAATCGAACCCAGGACCTTTCGGTCTGCAGGCCAACGCTCTATCCGCTGAGCCAAACTGGTCTCGGCTCCCTAAACAGTTGTACTCCATCTGTAGTTTCTTGGGAAACTTACCAGTTCTGAGTGTGTGATGGCGAGGCCAGGAGATTTCCCTGGAACAGGAAGAGCAACCTGTCCTTACACACGTTGCTGAGCAGGAAATGGAAGTGTATCTGCAACTCCCTTCGGCTGCTTTCCCGCTGGAATAATCCTTCCACTTTTCCTCTGTTCCAGGGGCCACATGCCAGAGTGGTACACGAAATCTTTCGGACATTTGTGCGCAGCCGAGGTCGTCAAGATCCGAGACTCGTTCTGCCACCAGCACGCCGAAAGCAAGGACACCAAGTCCAGGTGATGGCCGCGGCAGCGCCCCGGTGTCCACCTCCCCCCCTTCCGGGCCGGGGTCCCCAGAGCGCCCCCTCGCCGGTCCTTGGAAGCACGGGTTCTGCGTCTCATCCTGAAACAGAACTGCAAGTTGGAGCATAGGAATATTCGACTGTAGGGATTTGATACATTTTTCAAAGCTGCTTCCTGTTGGTTTAAGGTCTGTGTTCTATAGATCTTGACTGGAATATAGAAGACTGCAAAAAAAAAAAAATAAATGCACTCTTACGCGAGTTGCTTCTGAGAAGCAAACCTATAAATACCTTACAGAAGATGATGAAGATACCTTCATTCTCTTGTGATCTTGGTGTATGTTGTACCCATGTCGTCGTGTTGGCAGCGCGTGGCGGGGCTGGCGTATCCACTGGAATAGTTGGTACTCTTTGACAGGTTTTCTCACTGAGATGAGCGAAGACAAGGTTTGCACAGAGAGAGACGTGTGTGTATGTTTGTTGCTGGTCGAATGGCACCGATGTGGACGTTGGGACGCAGTGTCTGGCACACTGAGATGCCTCCAAGAAGGATGTTGCTGATCAGGTTCGGTTTAGCCTGGAATAGCTGACTACCCATGGGTCCACCCAGAAACTTAAAAGGGAACTCTCTTATTTTGAGGGGACAGGCAGCCTACCCTTGTCCATTTTTTTTTTTTTCCCCTTGAGTTATTAAACAGACTCCTCCATCAACTCCTTCTTTACCTACAAAGGGATTGTAGTGAATGTACTCCCATTTCCCGTTTCAAACACAGTTTCTCTCTAGACCTGATTGCACAAGTTGTTTGTAGGTTATTAACAGCATTTTTGAAAGCTGAACAGGTTTATTAATTTCATTTGCCCTTAACAGCAAATAGGATTTCTGGCTTTTTTTTTTTTCTTTTCTTTTCTTTTTCTCTTGTTGTTTGTTGGTTTTTTGTTTTGTTTTGGTAGGGGTTTTTTTTTTGTTTTTGTTTTTGTTTTTTGCTTTGCTTTTTTCTAAACTTTTCCTTTATAATGATGTCCTTGGAATATATTTTCATGGTAATGGCAAACAGGTATCACAGGGAAAAAGCAAGATCCCAGCACAGTTCTGGAAGGGTGGTCTTTATACAGGTTTTACTGTAATGGGAAAGGTCGGCTTCAGAGACAGTATTAGCGAATTTATTTAGTGTGGGTCAAAGTGAGTAATGTGTGAATGAGAGTTGCAAGAAGGATTTTTATTTTGTTATAATTTAGTTACCATTGTCAGTGTTATTTCCAAGGTTCTTTGAAGAATTGGTGGGGACAGACTAGAGTGTTAAAAATTTGAGTATTTTTGGATATCAGTGTTTTTTCATGAAGATATACTTGTATATTCCATTTTAATGGCTTTCAGATTTGTAAGGTTGTATGTTGTATATACCATTCTATTAAGACACGTGTACACAGGTCCACTGTGCTTTCAAACATAGATTAAGCATGATAAAGATTATTATTTAAAATATACTTGTATTTATACCTCAGATATTCTTTTGGGTTTTGTACCTCAAGGCTTTTTTTGTTTTTCCCTTCTTAATGTAAATACACGTACATGAATACAGTCTAAGAGAAAAAGTAAATAAGAGAAGAGGTTTATAATGTGCCCTGTATCTGTACAGAATATAATCGGTAAGTGCACTATTAAATGTTTAAGGGAAGCGTCTGGTCTGCTCTCCTCTGCAATGCATCCTCCTCCCTCCCACCCTGAAAACCACAGACTGCGAGGCGCATCGTTCTAGCACGTCATCCCAAGGCCAGACTGGAACTGAGCCACACACACGAGCACCCAGGGAGCCCCGGAGAAGGTTCTGGAAGCCTGGAGATGCTCTCCGGAGGCCGCTGGGAAACGATGCTGAGCAAGTTACAAGAACACGCGCCACAGCTCCCGAAAGATGCTCCTAAGCAAAGCCACGGTCACCGGTTTGTCCCCCCACGATTTGGCTCTCCTGTTGAGAGGATTGCTTCCACATCTGACAAGAGGAGATGCCAAAGGAGGTGACCCTGGGCGAGGACTCTGTCACCCGGAGTGGTATGGCCACCAGGTCCTACCGGTGACTCGTGGCCGAGATGGGGAGGTCTCCCGGAGGGCGGGGCTCTCCTCCTGCACAGCTGTACTCCCCTGCAGCAGCTTTCCGTGTTTGTACTTGTAGGCACCTAATAAATTGGTAATTTGCTAAATGGGATTGATGGAACTCGCTTGTTATTTGGGAAGGAAGGGAACCAAGGATGCCACCTGTCGGAAGCCGCCCCCACTCTGGCTTATCACTGCCCTCTTTGAGATCGAAGAGACTGGGCATGGTTAAACCACCTGGGCTCTTGAAAGTTTAAACCTGCAAAGATGCATAGGTAACCGTAGAGAGATGCTACGGATACTGATTTCTTTACACTTGAGTTTCTTTGAGATGGAATTTTTAGCCTGTCGCATTTCCCAGGTACGATGTGATAGTGATCTTAGAAGAGGTTTGACAAATATTCACTTTGGGCATAGGAATGGGGGGGAACCCAACTTCATAGTTAAGTTTTGAAAAGACATACCCAGGCTGAAGGCTTTTTAGATTGGCCTCTGGCTTCAGACCTGGTTTCCACGGGGCTATGTAAAATCAAAGTATCTTGGGCCTGAAATACCTAATACTTCCGTTGTTTGAACAGTTCTGAAGTGGAGTTTCTAACAGGCTTCCTGAGGTTGCAGGACCAGGCGGTAACTCATGGGCACCCAGGCAGATTTTCATGGTGGTGGTGGCACCGCCAAATTCACTCACGCAAAGCAGTTAGTCAGCACCTACTGTCCGCCTGACACTGCTCCACGCTCAAGACACAGCTGAGTGCAAGGCGGACGTGGCCCTGCCTTCTCAGCTAAAATCTCCCCTCACAGGCACTAAAATCAAAAATAATAATGCCACCTAGTGAACATTAGGACAGGCTTCTGTGTGCTGAGGGGTAGCTACGATCCTAACAAAACTCAAGGTAGCCAAAACCGGTTTGGCCCAGCGGTAGAGCGTCGGTCTGTGGACTGAAAGGTCCCAGGTCCGATTCCGGTCAAGGGCATGTATGTTGGTTGTGGGCACATCCCCGGAAGGGGGTGTGCAAGAGGCAGCTGGTCGATGTTTCTCTGTCATCGATGTTTCTAGCTCTCTATCTCTCTCCCTTTCTCTCTGTAAAAAATCAATAAAATATATAAAGAAAAAAAAAAAAAAAACTCAAGGTAATTGTTAAAGTATCCTGCCTACCAATTTGAAGGTGAGAAAACTTGGAAGATTTCAAGAAAATGAAGCCTCTCAGGTACCCATGAAGCATGGGCAGCCTCAGTCTAAGGAGAGGATGTGGCTTAGAGAAGTGGTGACAGTGAAGGGACCCAGAGCTGCCCTGGCCGGTGTGGCTCCATGAGAGCTTTGCCCCTCCACCAAAAAAGGTGATGGTGCGGTTCCCGGTCAGGTCAGGGCACCTACCCAGGCTGTGGGTTTACCCCTGGTTGGCTCATGTGCACGAAGCAACCAATCAATGTCAATATACTCAGGAAGCTTCGGGTATATGAAGATCCACGGAGGCCTCTTGTCTAAGGTTGAAGTGAACTTTTTTTTTTTTTTTTAAATGACACCCAGAGCTGGAAGGAGCTGAGATTCCAGCCCAGGTCTGCCGCCTCAGACCATTTCCTGTTTGCTGATCTTTTCCTAATTGGGAAGCAAATACCTCCTAGTAAAAGCCAGCCCAGCCCTAGCTGGTTTGGCTCAGTGGATAGAGTGTTGGCCTGTGGACCAAAGGGTCCCAGGTTTGATTCTGGTCAAGGGCACGTGCCTGGGTTGCTTTCTGGCTCAATCCTTAGTAGGGGGCATGCACGAGGCAGCCAATCAGTGATTCTCTAATCATTGATATTTCTATCTCTTCCTCTCCCTCTCCCTCTCTGAATTCAATAAAAGTAAATAAATAAATAGCCAATCCACCTGGCCTCACATCAGAATCAAGAATTCTAGGGAAGCCCAGCCAGTATGGCTCAGTGGTTGAGAGTCGACCTATGAACCAGGAGGTCAGGCTGCACGTCCAGGCTGCTGGCTCTATCCCCAGCTGGGGTCATGCAGGAAGCAACTGATCAATGACCCATCATTAATGTTTCTATCCCTCTCCTCTGAAATAATTAAAAATATATTTTAAAAATTCTAGGGAAATTAAAAAAAAAAAAAAAGAACTCTAGGGAAATGAAGTTCCACAGCAAAATAACACATTCTCAAAGTAATTAAATCATGTGTCAGCTCTTGCCAACACTGGGTTGGCTTAGTGGATAGATGTTGGCTTGCAGACTGAAATGTCCCAGGTTCAATTCTGGTCAAGGGCATATACCTTGATTGTGGGCACATCCCCAACAGGCAACTGGTCAATGATTCTCATCGATGTTTCTAGCTCTCTATCCCGTTTCCTTCCTCTCTGTGAAAAATCAATAAAATATATATTTCTAAATCATTTGTTATCCCATGGCTGAGAGGCTGAAGGATAAATTAAGTCAAGATAAATATGAGGCCAAAGTTTTGTTTCAGATCAATGGCTGAAAGAACTCAGAGTTTGCAACCTGAGTATATGGTTTCAGGTCCATGAAGATCCAGTGAGGCCTCCCTGTGAGACAATAAGACACGGCTCTCCCCTGTGCAGCACGGAACAGTTAGCTGTGGTGTGATTGCAGCCTTGCCGTCTCCCATGACTCATGGGATCGGGGGGGACATTTAAAGTCACGCGCCTCTTGACGGCCAGGATACGTGCTAAGAAATGTGTCCTCAGGCGACTTTGAGGTGCTGATGTCATAGCGCCCCTTACACGCTGGATGCTACAGTCCCCTGTGACTGTCCTGTTATCGAGGCAGCCCAGTAGATGTGTTTCCACCAGCACCTCTTCAGACACGTGACTGACAGTGCACCCTGACAGCTGGCTCTGTGTGTGTGTGTGTGTGTGTGTGTGTGTGTGTGTGTGTGATGCAGGCTTTGATTTCAAAGGCATC